CAGTTTAATGGCTCCTGTAGCATACCCGCCACCGTGGCAATGGCAGACTATAGACTGCGATGTGTCTTTTCTAGAAGTTACAAAACATGCGCCTATTGCCCATATCCGAACATACTTCCTGGAACTTCAACACAAATACACACGTCCTGAGTTCTTTACAGATGCCTCCAAGTCTAACTCCTCTGTGTCCTACGCTGCTGTCGGCCCATCCTTTTCGGATGCTGGCCCTCTACATCCAGGCACAAGTATCTTCACAGCGGAAGCCTACGCGATACTTGTGGCGGCTAAACACATCAAGCAATTACAAATACAAAAAGCAGTAATTTATACAGACTCCCTCAGTGTAGTAACGGCTCTGCACACTCTTAAAAAACACAAAAACCCAGTCCTTGTCTCACTTTACTCCATTTTATGCACACTATACACTCTCAAACAACATGTTGTAGTGTGCTGGGTGCCAGGGCACCGTGAGATTCAAGGCAACGTGAGGGCGGATCAGCTCGCTGCATCCGTCCACAAAAGCACTGCCCCTACACCCATATCAATCCCGGCCCTTGATCTTAAGCCGTCTCTCAGACGAAACCTCAGAGTATACTGGCAGAGCAAGCGGGATACACACACACAAAACAAACTACACGTTATTAAGCCACACCTTGGTCATTGGCTGCCCGTATCGAAATCGCGTCATACAGAGGTAATACTAATGAGACTCAGGATAGGACACACATACACGACACACACACACCTTTTGTCCGGTGGCGATCCACCATTGTGTGACAGATGTGGTGAAGTATTGACAGTCCTTCACATTTTAATTGAGTGCAAACAATTGGACACTGTAAGAAAACAACACTTTCCATTACCCTTCTGACAACATATACCTTTACACCCTGCAATGTTCGTCGGTAGGGAACCACTTTTTAGTCACAAATCATTGTTAGCGTTTTTTAAAGAAATTCATAGTTTTCATATCATATACCCGGGCATCCCGTAGCATGACCTCTCCAGAGAGGTTTTTGCTGCGGTGGCTACACAAGAAAGCACTTGCCTCACGGCCCTTGGACGCAAGGGTATGAACGAGTGAGGCACTTGTGCTAATGCCATACATATCCACCATCGTCTTTTATTATCACCAACTTTTGTCATCTATTCACACCACACACACCTTTCACGACATGGTCATGATTGTATTACTTGTATGTTTTTACCCGCCTTACCGCGAGGAATTTTATGGCCCTTATACAGCCGCTTATCACAATCATTGTCCATGTTTTTAGTAAGATGAACTGGCGCTCTTTGGCCGTGAAATGGCCCTTGCGCCATAAAACATCAAACATCATCATCATCAGGAATTGCCCATTTTTTTTAATCATGCTGTTTTTGTGTGATCATGCTGGAACCCTACATCTGTGCATAAGTGACCCTCTGCAAAAATTATGCTACTGAAATTAATTAGCTGATTATTTATATGTAACTTGCTTAATATCTAATAGCTCGTCGTTTTGTGTGAAAATCCATATGTACTGCACTTCCTAAGCAACTTTTTCAAGCTTGTGTACCTGCTTACACAAAATCTGAACACACTTTGGACTTGTAGTCTCTAAACGAGCTCTCTTGTGTACTAACAAAGTATGGTTTATTTGGTGTTGGTAGCATATTATGGTGTCTGGTGCAGGGTGAAAATGTTTAACAAAAGGCAACATTGCCTGCCTTTGGTTGTGCTTTTTAAAGTAACCTTGATTCAGTCTTGTGTAGACCGCCTATCGTATTTGAAAGGCACACGTAAATGCACTACATAAATGCTCTGACAGAGAAAGGTTGCTTGAATGCCCGAATCGTGGCTTGCTTGTGATCAGCATGCCCAGTTGGATGCAGACCACTCTACAGATTTTCCGAGATCTGACGAAATATTTTGTTTGAAGCCTTGAAATGGTTTCTGCTCTCTACGTGTCATACATTATGCATAAGCAAAAAGTAGTGTGAACAGTTGCAAACATTAAATATTGGTCATTGGACCTGCATAAAGCATAATGATGCTGTAATGCTATTTGAAATGCATTACACATAACCACATAAATATTAGGATGTAAATTGGGGTGTGTACTTTGTCTTCCGTGTGTTCTAAAGATGTGTGTAGGGCTAGATTTGTGCAGCAGTACATTGCCTCTAGTTGCAGTGGTTGCAGTGGTTTTCGAAGGTGAAACATTCTTGCCAATCGTGATTTATATTTCAAATTTAAAATTTCCATTCCATAGTCGCCTATTTCGGGGGAAGGGTTCCGTGATTTTTTAGAGACTGTAAAAAGTGACAAAAGGATTTCCGATTGCTGTAAAGGCATTATATGAAGAATGTTATTTATAAAAGGTGTACATTAGAATAAATGTCTCACGAAAAAATGCGCACACCTGTGCCTGTCATAATCGTGCCATGTGCATGTCAATGAAGTTGTCCCTAGTTCAAGCAGCAATCAGGCCAGTGATTCTGCTGGCATGCAGTGAATCTGGTTTCAATTTGGCATCTGGGCACCAGTCCAAGTCTGACTTGCCACTTGATCATCTTGTAGCAAAGATACTGGCGTGCACATCCGCAGTGTAATCGCCCTTGTGTGGTTACATCGAAGAAAACTCCGTAATTGCACAACTATAAAATTAATGTGAGAAACCTCAGTAACTGCGCATCCCACTGCCACCAAGATGCAGTCAGGTTTTCGAGATTCTCGAGAAAAAAAGCTGCACAGGTGTAAAATCATCGTTCATATATTGTGGCATTATATGCGCCTATATGCCAGCTCCCACCTGCGAACAGATGAGATTGAACTCTTCCATGCATGAAACTAGCTAATACGAATTGGTCATTCTTTGTTAGATTAGAAACCAGAAATCAGTTTCTGTAAGCACAACATACCAAAACCGCTTCGAAATGAAACTTACTGTCGTGCACAATCAAAAGTGAGGGGTGCAAGAAATCGAAAAAATAATAGACAGTTATAGTTTACAGTTAGCATGATAGCGGGGGTTAAGGGCTACCTTGCCGTAAACGTTCGTTGTGAACAGCGCCTTACAGTTTAGCGGGATAGCAATTATGTGGTTTACGTGCCCCAGCTGGGAAGGTGGCGCCACCTATAGGAGAGTGAATAAGTTAAATAGCAGTGAAAAGGGGGGAAAAAAACGAGGATGTGAACCTGCATCACCACGAGAAGCAAAGTTAGTTTTTTTTAGTTATGCTAAAGGTAATTATGAACCACGAACCTAACACAAAAGCATTTTTGTTGCCGATTTGTTTACATCAATCTCCTAGTTAGGCCTAGAGATGTTCGAAACGGGAAGCTATCTCAAAAACTATGCTAACTTATGCATAATACTTAGTCATCAAAGCTAACTGTAGGCAAGCAAAGCCATTTTAAGTAGTGTTTTGCTGGGAACAAAGTGAATCTTTCAACAACTTCACCAAAATCACTTTGAAGCGGGTGCACAAAACCACCTCTATGTTTTACGTACCCTGCGTAAACCAAGCTAACACAGTAATTTTAAATCTGAAAAATAGCGCGTGTGCAGTGAGCGGTACGTGTCGCGTGCGTTACTGCGCATGTGCTTCGATCCCGCTATCCCTGTAAGCCCGATACACCGCTAAGCCCAGTAAACTATAACTGTCTAGTAATAATTTTAGGCACTTCGCTCGGTGACAGTACTTTCCAAGCAAAAAAAAAAAGGTAGTTGGAAATATGACAAGTTTATTTAAACATACCAATGTCACCGTAGAGACCATCAACTATTTGGGACTTTTTGTACTGCGCCATAGGTTTGTCATAGTCCTTGGAAGGCTTGCCATCGCATGCGTTTGAGTGAGTGCTAAGCTTGCAGAATATGTAAAGGCTTGTTTCAAGTGAACTTTCGGTCTTTCTCTGGCAAAGAAATAAATATTTTGTGGCCAATCTTTGAGCTCAACATTTTTTCTTATTCCTAAGCATCAGCCAACATGGTGAACAAACAAGTCTTTGTCTGATCACTTGTTTTCTTGCTGCTGAACACTTTCTTTGCTTGCAGCTGTAGCGTCATCTTGGGTCTCATCTCTTTTGGGGATGCTTTCACGTTTGTGCGACATAACTTTTGCATAGGGCCGTGCCTGAGTGTAAAGTCGTTGAAATGTGGCACTGCCAGATCAGGTTTAAAAGTTTTATATCTCGCTACAGCTACCATTGTGTGTGTTTTTAGGTGCAGTCATTAGAAAGCTGCAAGGAAAATGCTGTAGAATGTCATCAACCAGACCTTCGGGGAAATAAAAGGGTGGTTTCCTGTTGAAAGGCGTTAAGCTTACAGAGAAATACGTTCAGTAGTATACAACAATTCTGGCGGGGCCATTGCATGTGCCCATTGAAGATGGCACTGATCTACAAGAGGTGGGCTGTCTTGTTTTGCAAACTGCCTTCCTCAATCAGATACATCATAAAGTCCAGATGGCCAAAGCACGACTGCCGATTGCATTTGCAGCTAAAGAAACAGCTCAGCTCGTGACATCAGGCAAGCTCTTGCACAGTCCAAGGGCTCACATTCATCCACCATTGAGGAGAAAAATTGCTGCTGATTCCTTAAGGTTTAAAATTCAACATGCGCAAGTGGTGGGCATTTCCAGAAGGGGTCACCTTTCAGTGCATTCCTCAAAACGTACTGCTGTGCTGTAGTCCGAGCCATTCCGTCCATTTTAGTGATTGCAGAGCATTTATTTGTGTCATGTCACCGTTAAAAAAAAAATGGTGGAAACCACTGGGCAGTCGGTACAGCATTGCGTTTTGCCTCCAATGTTACTCTTGCGAAAAATAAATAAAAAAGTTCGAGCTTTTCACATGCTCTTTCCAACTCATCTTTCCTGGCCTGTTTCTTCAGTGTGTGTTCGTCCTACTCACCTTACTGCCACATGTGTTTTAATTTATCTTTGTTTTGAGTTCTTTTCACATCCCTGACTCAATTTTTGATGTCTTGACTCTTTTGGTCCTGTCCCTTCAGTGCTGCCAGCTACAATGCTACTCCACCACCTTTGCCACGAGAGCTTAGGACAAGGTATTATTCACCTCACGCCCGTTATCCTGTTTCTTTTTATTATTTTTATTATCGTTCCTGTGTCTCTTATTTTCTAATCATGTGCTGCCTTGGGAACCCTTCGGTCTGCTCTGTCCTTAGGCTCCTTTCTCACTGTGGCCTTCTGAGGGGCTGCTGCTTTTTTTTTTTTATCTTCCTTTCAATGCAATCTGCACTGGTGGTGAATCGCAAGTCTGGCAGCAATGGAATACAGCAGCGACGTGAAACTGTTTGCAAAAATGCGCTGCTGGATTCACTTCCCGAGCAAATGTGCATGTGGCGCTTCCCACCCTCTCCGACCCGAGACGCATGCAGCAAGGAAGAGTTTGCTTGCCGCATTGGGGCTTGCCTCACAGAGTTGTCAAACGCCCCGTTGTGTTGCCATCGCGACACATGCATTGCTGGAGTAACTTTTCATGGAAGAATGAGGCAATAGGATGTTGCCTCATGACGGAACATGTAGTGACGGGACGAAGCTTTTGATGGCACTGTGAACCGGGCCTTATTGCCGTTTTTTTGTCTTGGTCTGGGTTGGCATGCCAGCCTATAGTGATGCTACAAAATTGCGGGAGAAATTCTACCATTGTCGCAAAGTGTACCTGCCTTAGTTGGATACAAATGCTTGATAGCGAGGAGGTGAAAATGAAGTGAGAATAGTGTTGACAGTTTGATTTGACTGGGTGTTAATTTTGACCTTTCTTATAGACTGGAAAACTGATAGGCATTCAATAAACACTTATGTAATAGATTGTAAAAACTTGTACTATGAGTTTCAACGTGGCAGCTATGGCTGAAAAGGACCATGCCTATGCTAAAACACCAGGAAAGGTGAAGCTGGCTTTTCGAATACAAGCTGTAGAAACAGTGTTTACCTCACCAATTGTTTCGTATCGGCACTGCTTACACCATGGAAAACATGCTGCAACTCATAGTGGGCGTGATTGCACGTTTCTAGCGAGTATTAAAGAAAGTGTAATTTTAAGGGCTCGTTTTTTTTTTTGTTTTACACAATAATAATGAGGACTAACAGACAGTAATATTAATGCCAGGGAAGGTGTAGGGGATGGTATTTGAAGTAGTTGTAACGTAAATGGGAAGGAAGAAAAGTGAAAAATAATAACTTGCCACCAGCAGGAACAGAACCTGCGGCCTTCGAAGGTTGCAGGTTCAGATCCTAGATCGCAGGTTTGGATTCTCTCTACGTCAAGATATTTTTTCGTACACTTTTTTTTTCTTCACATATACTTAACAGTTCCTTCTAATTATTTCCCCCATACTGTCCCGGGCATTACTGTCTGTTAGTTCTTGCTAATAGTGGGGATTAAAGTATTCGTATTGAGTAACATTTGGCTTTGAGAGTTCGTTTCGCGTTTATTTTTCAATCCCGCTCAAAAATATGGTCCAATGATCTCCAAACATTTAGTTCTTACTTTGTTACGAAATCAACAGTACAGTTATTCAGCTTATAGCAACTTGCTCTGTTACCATGGGCAATGCCGGTATGCTAGTGAAGTGGCAGGGAGATGTTAATGACATTGTGAAACGAGCTCCAAACCGTGCAGCTAGATGACCAACATTTAAGTAGCATTTCTCCTGCAAAACGTGTCTTAATGCATGACATTTGTGTAGGGTGGCCTGGAGGGTGCTTAAGGTGTAAAGCATGGTACAACAGCATGGCCTGAATGTTTTGCATGGTTCACTACCCCATCAACCTGCCCCCCTCCCCCCTCCTTACAGCTTGTGCTTCTGGACTTGAAAAATCTGCAAGAAACATTAACTCAACTTCATTGTATGGTAAGAAGAATCTCGGTGATACGAATTCGAAGGGAGCATGCAAAATATTCGTAACATCCCGAATTTGTATGAACCAAACACAAGTCAAATGGACTGTAAAGTCAAATGACAATTCATGTCAGAGTGAAAGCTGAATGTATGACAGCATCTAAAACGACATAAAAAGTTAAGCCAGTGGCAACGCGAAGAACTAATTGGCATTTTGTACCCATTCTAAAGGTAGTACTTACCAGCTGTGAACAGCCTCATCACCCCTATGATAAGTGTTAAACGAACATAATCCACGTGACAACTTGAGGTCGTCATAAAGTTATAGTAATTGAAATTCAAGTGTGTTAATTTAACAGTCTGTATAATGCACATGAGTGAAAATTAACACAAAGTGCAGTTACCACAAGTCCACACCTTGTGCAGAACATTAAAGGAACACTATAGTCAAATAACAACTTACGTCAAGAGTGAAATGTATGACAGTGTATGACAATGTTTAAAATGACAACATTATCGACAGCAGTGTCCTACTTACAGAGAAATTTGGGTAAATGAACGAGAACACGTGCGCTACTCGTAGGACATTCGCTAAATGGTCTCGATGGCGTGAGAGGTACCATCTACAATTAATCACTGTTATTTGAACTAGCTGCACTAAATAAAGAACCTTCTGTGCATCAAGAAATGTAATAAAATGCTGCTTGTTTGTTTGTTTGATTCATGCAAAAAAAGAACCGTTGGACATTACTTTGGGGAATGGCACGAGTGGTTCAAGAAATCAATTTTCGCCTTGTTCAACTGGATAGGTCGTGCCATCTAGCGGGGCCCAGTTGAACCAAGCATGTCTGCCGTCTCGAAAACCATGGCAGGAAATTGTTCAATGGCCGTTGTTGCTGCTGTGGCTTCCGCTATTTTCGTTCTGCTGCTACTAGTGTCAGTGGCCGCGCAGCAAAGCCGAGCAACGTTGTGCACAGCAACTCTGACCTGGCACGTCCCGCTTGAGGCGCGTAATTTGAAGCACACTAACCCAATGCGGACTACTAAAATTGGATTTTATTTCAAAATAAGCCCATCCTTGGCACAGAAGACTGCAAAGTTTCTGGGGACCGCTATTTCAACAATCAATGTCGACTTCGTAGCTGCCCTTAGTGTCCATTCAATGCTGACCACGAAGCTGAAAAAGAACTTTATTGGAGTCAACTACTTCTTGCTGAAAAATGTTCATGATGTTCTTTTGAACTTTTCTGCTTTCAACGCCTATCGATAAAGTGCCGTGGTTTTCTCACCCATGCTGCTGGTTCACACTTTGCATCAAAGGGAGTGAAAGCAGCAAAGCTGATTGAAAACTCGCTTGCTTCGTTGCTTAAACGCCCGGAAAATTGCACCGAGAAGTCCGCACGAAAAAAAAAAAAAATCCTGGAGAATTCAAGCGAAAATGCCGAAGCGGCTGCAAAACCACGTCCGCCCCTCGTATACATGCCACCGCCGCCTTCGTCGCTTGAAAATTGATTCCCGAGCATTAAGATACGTACTGAGTTTTAGTTATGCATGCAAAACGGTGAAAAGAAACAGATTACACCTTTACAAACGTTGTAAACGATGAGAGTGGAGGCAGCGGCTGTGAAAGATTCCATTGGCAGTGCAAACGTAAGACGTGGGGCATGCAGACTCGCGCCTGCCGACTCGCTGCTGCTGCATCTTCTTGCCCCACCGTGATAGTCTAGTGGCTAAGGTACTCGGCTGCTGACCCGCAGGTCGCGGGATCGAATCCTGGCTGCGGCGGCTGTATTTCCGATGGAGGCGGAAATGCTGTAGGCCTGTGTGATCAGATTTGGGTGCATGTTAAAGAACCCCAGGTGGTCGAAATTTCCGGAGCTCTCCACTGCGGCGTCCCTCATAATCATATGTCTGTTTTGGAACAATAAACCCCACATATCAATCGCCAATCTGCATCTTCACTTTTCGGTGTTCACAGCGATCATAATTCAAACCAGTCTATCGGTAAATGCGTCTTTTTTCAAGCTGTGAGCTTTGTTGAGCTGTGAGAGTTGATCACGGTTGCACCGCTGAAGCCTTTGCCGCCATGTTGAATGTATGGCTGGTTGTTTACGTCACTTGGTTTGAGAGCTAGTGTAGCCGATGTATCGAAAACTGTAGCTGAAAGGCGATCCGCTATTGCGTGGCGGCAAAATTGGTCTCGGACCGTTTTTTTTTTTTTTTTTTTTTTTTTTTTTTTCCACGTCGGCCTTGCATCATCGTTTTCCGGCCACAATTCCAACAGCGACGCGAGGTAAACTTTGGTGAGTTTTGCCGCATTCGTTCCCTTCGAGACCAAGTGTAAATGGGCCTTCCTCCCACAGACAAGCCATGTTATGTGGCTAGCGTGCAGCAGTCGATCACCCGTTCATATCATGTACGGTTGCTGGGGAAACCGTTTGGGTAACACTGAATCGCAGCGTATTTTATACAATGTAGTCCATCTGAAGCAACCACAAAATTCGTTTCATCGCGGAATTCACATCAACCGTAATCATATTATCGAGATTTTACTGTATTACAATATTTATCTTCACTGGTTAAAAAAAAGGAAAACACTTGTACTGACCTGCCCATACGATCAAAACATATACACGGAAAAAATTGCGATGTCGATCAGTAGTAGCCTTATTCAGTTGGTAGTTGGTCGTGCTCTTGTTTCACGGGTAGAAAGAACCGATTGGTTATCTTTACTTTGTAAACTAGATGAAATGCCAGCTAGCATGGCCATTGCAATTCGTAATGCTCAAGAATATATTTCAGGAAAAGAAATGGCTGACCACGTTACTGGGAATTATAGAAACATCATTAAAGGCTTTGAAATTTTTGCCGACTGGGCAAGGTATTTTTCGCCAACCCTCATGCGAATTCATGCAAGTTTAGAATTGTAGTTGGAAACGCTGCGACTAAATCAAAGACAAGAAACAACTGCTACAGAACACTCATAACTACAGTGCTTGTTGTGGCATTATTGATTCTTCATGTAGTACTTAATGCACTGTTGCAACCTCACTCCTAAATGGGAATCATCTAGCTCTCGAGTTGTTGCTCAGCTGTAAATGGCACCCCTTACTGAGCACATCAGTGGAGTTATGTTCGTGCTCCTATTCATGCATATAAGTGGTCATTAAGAGGACATCTGTGTGGTATTCTAAATTGGTCTTTGTTCATGCAGGTTCATGCAGTCTACATGTTGTTTATGACACAGAAAATGTCAACTATTTTTTGCATATGGATTATGATGGCTACAGGTTTAATATTTAGCCTACAACATGCTTCTTTCAGTGATATTAGGCTAAATATCACCTTCACCTGTACACAAGAGAACCCTCATCACCAGCTGATTGCAGCCAGCCATCCACATACTCTTACTCTTGCAGTGCCAGCTATAGAGGGTAAAAGAAGCAAGCAGCTTATTATCTGTAGCCTCAAGCATGATTTCATGCATTAGTGCACGAGCACAGAAGCTGGTGAACCAGGGTAATGACTGGAACCGTGGCATCATTGTCATATTATACATGTTCATAATACACCTCACAATGGTTACTGTGGTATATATTTAAGACATATGCAATATACGTGCTTTGCAGTGACTTAATCTAATTATGTACCACTGTTAAAATTTTCTTCGTGCACTTTTCAATACCTTCATATCTACCATGCCTGTATTCTAACCGTTTTCCCGCCAACTTGTATCTGATGGGTAGAGCATCGGGCAGCTGTGCTGAGGGAACCGGATTTGAAACCAACCGTCGGAGTCACTTGGTATGCGCTACTGGGTATGTGTCGCTCTTCAATGGCAACAAAATAGTTCTTTAAAACCTACATGGCGCTGGGCAGAATTTTAACTCTCATATATGCAGTAGAATCTTGTTAAATGGAACCTGAAGTGCCCGGGAAAATGTGCTGTGATTAATTTGAGAGTTACATTTAAAGATGAATGTGTTCAGATGTGCAGCTCTGTCAGTTATACTCCATTTTTTACGTCTTAGCTGGTTTGTGGTATGGGCCTTGGGTGACAGCTAGAATGGGTTTGACCTTGCTAGATTCTTTTTCAAGGAGACATTGCTGGTGTACAAAAAAAAAAAAAGCCAAACCTCTCACTGGCTCAGTTGGCAGTGCAATAGCATACAATAGCTGTTTTCCAAGAATAGGGGATCTCTCATTGTTTAGGTGGTATTCTGTATAGAATACCGAGGCTGTAGGAATATGTTTAAAATTGTCCCTCTTAGAGTGAATGTCCTTTATAGTTCACTTCTGTGGTTTTGCTTACAGAGAATTGCAAATGTTTCGGTTCCACGTGATGAGTTTTGTTCGTTACTCGAGTATAATGCCAACCAATTACAAGCCTGTTCGATTCAAGCGATGGTTCCAATTTAACGACTTCTATTCACTGAGGTTCTACTGTATTTATGTAGTCTTGTCTGAATATTTTCACACATGCACCGTGCATAGACTTATGGCACAGCATCTCCAGATTGGTGGAAGAGAGAAGTCGTAGTGTGCTTGCACCTCACACACGACTCCTTTCAACAACTGCTTTGTAGCTAAAAGCACTAACATTGGTATTCAGCTGGCAGTTAGGCTTCACTGGAACATTTCAGAGCTTTTAAGACTGGTGCCATCGACCGCTAGAAATTAGTCCCTCACCACCGACGTTTTCGGCACTCGATGCCCACATGTCTCTTTTTCACCGTTGCATACCACATCATCGTGCAGTTCAATGGGCGCAGCATGGTTCATTGATGCATTGCTTGGCAACGGACTGTTGGCCCCAGCACAGCAATATAGCAGGAATGAAGCAGAGGTCTTAGACGTGCTGTGCATGTCAGGGGTGAACACTATATAAATAAATGGTATAGTATGAAAAATGCTTATAGTGCAGCCTAATCATTCGTTTCCACAATACAAGTGACTTCTGTACTGCGAACGAAGAGTAGTGGCCAAGTGATTTTTCATCATCCTGAAGTTGTGCACCCAGGTCTTGAATGCTGTAGGAGTCTCAAGGGCAACAAATGGTAGATATGGTAATTTGGTGTGCACATAATGGAGAGCTTGCACTGTATCAACTCAAATCGAAATGTGTTTTATTGAGATGGTAATTACATGGAATGTATAGATAATATTTTGACCAATATCCAGCATGGCTAGTCCAACATAAAAAGTACCAACAGCCAACATAAAAAGTACTGTACAGGTTAGCAATTCACATAATTGGTCACAAAATGATAGCTTTCATACATAAGCAAGTTTTAATAGTGTACACGTTTGTCTACAAAGGAAAAGGCATAATATTTCTTAGTAAAAGAAACAATGCTGCACTTACTCTGTTTCGAGAAAGCGGCTTGCTCCTCTGCGAGCGTCATTACCCGAAAACATCGGTCACTTGTGTATTATATTGTTTTCACTGTTACTTTCGTTGGTTTGCCATTTCTGATGGCTGGTCACGTTTGGCATTCGAGTGTCGTTATGCTGCTGTTCTTTTTTTTTTTTTTTTTTCGACCCCTCGCAGGACGATGAACGAGGAGCAAGTGAAGCCCCGGTCACTGCGTTTCACCTGGAGCATGAAGACGACGTCGTCGCGGGACCCCGCCGAGATCATGCAGGAGATCCGCAAGGTTCTCGACAAGAACAACTGCGACTACGAACAGCGCGAGAAGTTTTTGCTCCTGTGCGTGCACGGCGACCCCAACACGGACTCTCTGGTCCAGTGGGAGATCGAGGTGTGCAAGTTGCCGCGGACTTTCGCTCAATGGGGTGCGCTTCAAGCGCATATCGGGCACCTCCATCGGCTTCAAGAACATCGCCTCCAAGGTGGCCAACGAGCTCAAGCTTTAAGGGACTCTTGTCTGCCAGTGGTTGGTAGAAGAACAGAAAAAAAGCTCCGCTGCTGCCGCCTATGCCGCTGTGGGCACGAGGCCGTGCGGGCCACTGTGGCGGTGGCGCTCAACTTGCCTCTACGCCCCGAAAACCCCTATGGCGCTTGCAACCTGCGGCAAGACATCCCGCTGCAACGATGACATCTAGGTGTACTTTGTGTGTGGGGGCTTGACCTGGCTCTGTTCCTGCTTGACATTTTCTTTTTTCTTTTTTTACCCCATTTGTGTTGCACTCGCAAGAAAGGGATTATGTGTAGCTTGTACCATTTTCTTTTTTCTTTTCTACTTGTTCATCGGTGAGGAGTGGGGCGGGGTTTTCGATGTGTCGCAAAGCACGGAGCAGTAGCATGCCTTGAGGGTACGGCATCATCCTCCGCTTCTAAGCTGCAGTGGCTCTTCTCGTCTTCTGCTTAGACGGGCATGAATTGAAGCAGCATTGGAGACCCTTTTGCCACGGAGCTAGGGATGCTGCTGACTGCGCAACTCCGAATGCAACCGCATTACGTCACAAAGGGCACGCCTACTGCCCTCTCCTTGTCGAGTGTCGCACTGGCCGAATGTACTGAACTGTGCCCACCCTCCTCCCAAACTGACGACTCCCCGTGTGAAAGGACTCGAGGCTGGGTGATGTGTGTGTGTAGCTGTGTGCATGTCGTCACTGAGGTTTGCATGTATGTGTATATGCTTTTTTTTTTTAACCTTAGGCCCACCCAATTTTGATTTCAATTTTTTCTCTGGGATGTACGTGTACATAAGAAAGGAACGAGGTTGACGTGAGCATGACTGAGTGTTGTCTGTGACTTCGTAGTGGCAATTTCAGGCTCTCATCCGCGCACTCCAAGACATTGCTGCTGGGAGCCTCATAGTTTGCACACTACACGAACGTGAAATGCCAGCCGTTTCAAATACTAGCGTTCAAGCCGCATTGGTAACAGGAACACTGGCAGGTGCTTGCCCACGGTCCTCCGCATGCTCACCGCATCAGTGGTATTGACACCCTGAGGCTGGGGCGACAGGCGAGACGCTGGCCATTTCGAATTTCCGGTGTTGGCATCTTTTTTTGGCCACACAAGACATGTCTAGAACCATCATGGCAGCACTGCATAGAATGTTGACAGGCTCGTCAGAGATGCCTGTCTCGCTCAACACGAGGGCACACTAGCCCAAGGAGCAACTTAAGATGGAAGGCCGTGAATTGCAACCCTCGGAAAACTAAGGTGAACAGATGGATGTACTTTGTTGTCGTCCTCAGGGGAAGGAGGGGAGCCACACTGCACAAGGTGGGAAGTAAATGTCGAGTACACCCACAGTTCTAAGTGGTTACTTATTTCACTAAGGGCGAAGGGCCCATTATGACGTCGCGACCGAAAACATCGGGCGCGCTCGCTTCGTTGCCTGGTGCTGGCCTTTACCTTCTTTTCGAGTACGCCAAGCAGGAAACGTGCATGTCGCAAGACGTCTGGATTTTTGCATTGGGCCCAGCGAAAGCGCGTGCTTGGCTCAATTTCGCATTTTGTGTTGCCCACCTCACCGTACGGTGTGCAGAGAACTGCACTGTCATGTCATAAAGTCCTCATCGTGGTCAACCGCGTCAGTGCCAGCATAGGCTCAGTGCACAGTCCTGTATTTTCGGGACAAGAAGCGGTAATTTGTAATAGGTGGGAACAAGTTACTGCGGCATATAGTATATAATTAGGAAAAGAAGCTGCCACGAAGTTCATTACAAGGGCACTGTGTGGTAGGCAGTATTGAGTTGTTCACTTCCCAAATCGTAATGATTTGGGAAATTTTTGCCTAGGTCACGTGAAGCATTGTGGGATGCGGGATAGGGGTTATACTTTTTGCTGCTAGGACGAACTTTACCCTAGGCACTGAGGAACGCCGCCCATAGCTTCTACCTCGGCCGGGAACGGCTTGTTTTCTGGCCAGAGGAAGCTGTCACTTTTGTTAGACGTTTACTTAGCTCAATGAGTCCCATTCGTTTCTCCCACACTTCTTTTTGTTCATCCTTGTGTATCAAATTGTGCCGATTTAACGTGTTGATCGCCGTTAGCCGTCTTGTACATAATGAGCAGCACTTTTTTTTTCTCTCAGACGGCTCCTCCCTGTTGTAAATAAATAGCGGGCAACGAGGATTACTCTTTGAGGGAAAAGGGGGAGAACGAAACTGCATTTTTCGCTAGAGTGCAGTTGCGTCAGTGGTGTGTTTAGTCGTCACAATTTGTTTTCTCCCCCTCTTCCCACACCAACACACCATTGTTTTAACAAGACATGGCGCTTTGTTACTTTTTTTTTTTCTTAGGCTGCTGCATGAACTGGACGTTTGACTGTTTCATGTGAGAGATACCTTCGAAGCTCTGTGGCAGCAGACAAGATGACGCGGGTTGTACATAGCTGCGGCCCTGTACGTGTTTCTTGGTGTGGCTGGCTGCCTTGGAAGTCTTGACCAGTGCTAGTAGCTTTCCCTGCCTTTTTTTTTTCGTTTTTTTTTTATTTTCGAGGAAATTGGTTATAACTAGTTCAGTGTAAATATCTGGAGCTTTCATAATTACACGAGTAAGTGCTAGGGAAGTTTCTAGTGTATAATTTATCTAAAAACAAATAAAGGGTCCTTCAAGTACCTGTCCTTTGTGTCTCTTGTCCTTGTGTGCTCACCGACAGTTTTGCATGCATAGGAGTATGTGTGTTGTGGACTTGCTAATAGCAGTAAATGGTTCTTTTGAATGGCTAGGTATCTACGAATCTCTGGCGTCATGAAGGTAAATTTATGAAAAGGGATAGTTTCTGTATTGGGATAGAATATTTTTCTAAACTTGTAAAAAGGCCATGTTCGAACCACACATGCCAAACAGTAATAGGTAAGTAAATGTTTGCACTCTACTCGCATACCTACAAATGAGTATCGGGTTGAATCATGCCAGGTTATGGGAGTGTGCAGAGGTAATTGAAGCTGAACTAAGGATGTTTTTATGTACTGATACATCATTTGCAGTGTTCCACATTCTTTAAGCTTTCCCTTGACACAAAGAGGTTAAGCTCGTCTGCGACTTTCTGGGAAAGTGGCCAAAAAGCACTTGCCATCGTCGACAGTACTGGAGTATGTCTTGGTGCCTTGCGAGACACAAAACCCTTACCCCCTACGTAGGTAGCGCCGCCATAGATGACGGGCGTTTCGCGCTCATCCGGCAGGCAAGGGAAATCCAGGAGGTTATGGTCAAACTCGTGGGTGTTCTAAGGCTCGTTCGATTCGCCTGCACCACGTGAACCAGTTCACGAGGTGCTGCACTTTGCCATTCGTTTTTGCAGTGCAGCATTGACGACCTCTGAATTTTGTCGTTCGGTTAAAGAGGTGCAGCACTGGTTCACAATTTTCCTGCACCTCCTACGCTCACAGTGCCGGCTTGGTGCAGCTGGGCAGACGACGCAGCACTTAGGCGTAGGCGCCGTACCCGCCTCTACTAACGCAGTGTGTTTTGCCAAGATGTTCGCGCCGCATAAACCGTCCGCGTGTGCGGTTCACCATTGTGCAGTGTTAGCTGAATGATGTAAACCAAGCGAACAGAAATAAGGTCCGCACCTTGTTGGCACAATGTCATTCGTTTCGGGTGTCGCGCTGCGCCTGCACCGCTGAACTCGTGCTGCACAATTTCGATTCACTTGCACCAAGTAGAACCGGTTCACGGCTGTACACGCGAAGTTCAGAACAAATTTTCAGCTAAATCTGCACCTTTTTATTTTTTTTAAGCTGTTTGTCATAACTTTATAACTTTGACATCGGACGGTTGGCTACAGTTTGGAGGTAGCAGTAGATCAAAATGTTGCATTTTTCCTTGAACAATTTATGACAAGCTTTGTAAACTAAACTTTGGCAAATTTATATACGTTTGTCTTGACAGGTCGCACCTGCTTAAATCATCTCCAATAAATGCAGTATATTACTATTTGACCAATTGCGACAGCAGCGCTTGACACTATCATTTCTCTATTGCAACATACCCAAGTTTTTACATAGCCTTTGAAATCGCTAATTAAATTACCATCTCGAAGGCCACATTCTTGTAGCTTATATATGCCTATTTTTATACAAAAATAAAAATTTTTACAAACTGTATTTTGTTTCTTAAAAATATTTTAATATGGATAAATATTTTTTAAAAATTATTTGCAATTTTTGTTTTATTATTCGGCCTGTAGAGAGCAATGCATAACTTGCTACTTCAAGAACAAGTAATAGTTGTTGCACTCCACGTTGTTTATAAGTGCAAACGCGTCACGTGAGCAATTCATTTGAATCATCGTATTTGAATGGCGGATGTGCCGGTTGCGGCCCTGTGTGTTTCTTCCTTACGATGGCTGAAAGTAGGTGAATATTAGCATTTAAATGTGCGCTTATATGTCTGAACGGCATGACGCACTTGTTGCGTTTCTCACTCTGCCATTTTTTATTCATTTTCTTTATTGTTACTGTTAGTAAATCGTCCCACCTATTCCTCGTTCGCGTGCTTACTCAGTTAAGCCTAGGCGTGGTGAGCCCTACGATAATCTGCGTTAGAGTAGACAGGCTCTCCGGCCGCTTTTAGTATTTTGTTGTCAATGTGCTGGGTAAATACCGATGCTGCAAAAATTATTTCTGATGCTTCGGAACCACGTGCAGACTTGCAAGCAACGCCTCACTTGTTCCGCAGCTGTGTCGAAGATTCGCAATCACGCGCTCCTTTGCACCGTCCCTTACACTTGAGTAAAAGTGCCTTTCTTTTTGCAGGTGACGTTCCAAAAATGACTGCACAGCTAATGCGAGTCGCTCAGCTTGACCAAGAAGGATCCTCGCTTCTGTCTTGCAGGTTCGTATTAGTTTAAAAAGCCGGTGTCGCGCAGGCACTTCCGATCGTGGTCGGGGCCGATACGGATCGAATTTCTTCATCACGATTGGCTGGCGCAAGGGAGCTGTTAGCATTCGTATAACGAGTTCTTGTGCCCTATCGCGATCGAAAGTGTTACAATAGCGTGACATCGGAACGTTTAAAAAAAAACTGCATGATGACTCAAATAGCCCTCGATGATTCAGTGGGAGTAAATTAACTGATTTAATGAGGCTGATTGTCGTGCCTGGGCGTATCGGGGAGCGTTGTAACGGGCGGGATTCTGCAAGCATGTTCCTCCCTTTATTTTCTAGGTGGAGCAGCCGCACGGGTTCCCCCTCTGTAGCCACAGCTTCAGAAGCAACAGGTATGATACATTCTATGAATGGATCGAAGTAGTTTTTATGATGACTACCTACTGCTTGACATTCTGTGGAAGCAAAATTACTGATTTAATGAGTCTGAGAAAGCCTAGCTGCGTGCGTCGGAAGTCGTTGAAATGCGTGTTTGTCAAATGATGTTTTACATTTTCTTCGCAGGTTCTTCAAGCGTCGCACTTTCTGTTGGAAGCGGTGTCGTAGCGCTGTTTCATCAAGAACTGCATAAGAGGCGGATGCATTTTTGATGCGACTGTTTGAACATGACCTGCCAATAACTTTTCCTGTGTGAAACGAGGGTAAGTACTGTGGCGCCTTTGGTAGTAATTGAAGGAAAACGAATGTTTGTCACTGTTTTAATAAAGCATTTCTTTACATTGTTCCCAGTCTCCGAAATTATTGCACACTACAGCGGTTGTGAAGCACGGGTTGCGATGACCTTGCCTTCGACGTTGGCCCAGTACGACGTAATTATGAAGCCCATTAATTGACCAGTAATGCTATATTAGTCAAGCCAGCTTGGTCTTACGCAATTGACTAGTGTTATTGGGGGGGGGGGGGGGGGGGGCTTGTATTGCGATTTCGCTGAAAACGGTATTATTCGGCGCTGATCTATGTACTCTGATCCATTGCGCCATCTGTGCCACTGGTACACCTTGGGTTGGCGCTAAAACGTTTTATGGGGTATGGGAGAGGGGCATGAAGGTTTCATTCCGTTAATTTAGGGCTGCTTTTCGGTTGCCTTGGATGGCGTGTGTGGGCAGCCGCCCAGCGCCCCCGTCAAGATGTCTGCATACATTCTGGTGTTGCGAGATGAATGCAGCGAGCACACGTGTCTCGTGGTGCGTCCAGTTTGAACCCCGGTGAGTGAAACAAGCTGGTCACTCAACTTCGAAATACAAAATGCGAATAATTTTAGAGTGTACAATTTTCATAATGAAAGCAGTTGACAATTCGTCCTGGTGGTGAAGCGCCTGAAGTAAGGGTGGAGCTGATGACGATGCCTCATCTATGGGTTTTATACCTTATGAGGAAGATTGGCCGAGAATTGGTTATAACAACTTTTAGGCTTTTCAAGTTGTGTGATTGTATTTTTCTTTTTTTTTCTGCGCCTTCTGTGTTTATCTTTACGATTTCCTACTCTATGCGTTTCTCTTCATGCGAAGCGCCCCGCGTACGCGATGATGGCCAATGGGTTACGAAGGCCAGCAACCATGTCAATTATGGAACTTCCACGTATAGATCACAGCGGTGACTCGCTTAACCGCATAACTTACGTTTACGGATTGCCACGAAAAGGAAATGATGAAGGGAGACGAGTTAGTTTTGCCCCAAAAGGCAATGAATGTGATAACAACAGATTCGAATGTTTTACGAAGCAAGGCTACCATTTTTAGGAGGAATAATGATTGTAGTAAACATGCGATTGCTAAGTAACCAAGTTTCCTGCGGCGCGACCACAGTAAATGACCACCTCAAGCGCCTCCCGTGGGCAGCACATGCTGGTACTAAGGGCTATACGTCGTGTGTCGCCGGTGGTGGCAGTTTATGTGTAGAGCTCATCCATATGTGGACGGCCGCTCCAGGTACTCTTTTAGTACAGTTCTTTTTTTGTTGTTGTTGATAACGTAGCCCGATAGAAGCTCCCGCCTGCTGTGGGGCAAAAGCCGTGCCGCTGAGCGTTACCGCGACAGCACGGTAACCATGAGCCCCTTTACACATTGGCTCACGAGATAAGCGCGAGCACAGACGATCCCGGTCGGAAAATAAGTATATAAAGGTTAGGTCGGAAAGGTGACATTCGCGGAAAGTGTGCGTGTGTGAGGAAATTTTGTCTCGCCGGATCCGGAATGGAGGTGATATCGAAGCAATAGCGCCTAGAATATATCAAAACTGAGCGCGCAGGAAATGCCACCGGTGTTGCGTCAGACCAGAACATTACGTGACGAATCTTGAAAAAGAAATGGTCGCAGCAAAACTGTGTCAAGAAACACGACGATTCGTTTGAAATGCACAAGTGGCATTCATTTTTATGAAAAGTCTGTATTTAAGAAAATTATGCCAGCTCCGCTTGTCGGACACTGATGTAACAGCGAAGCCAGTTGCAATAAAACTTCTTGTTTGGCGAGTTGGTGGTGTATGACGTGTGACATATTTTTTGGCTCAACAGTAGAACACGAAAGAACTCGAAAGGAGAATAAAACGGAGTGCACAGGGCAGGTGACATATTGCTTGATTGCTTGTTCTCTCATTTTTGGCACCTACCCACTACAGGGGATCGGCCATGAAACAGGCGGTTAATATTAGATGGACGGTTGGATGCGGAACTTTATTAGAAGTCCTGTGGTTCACGACTCAACGCGCAGCGGGCCGCTCCCTCGTGGGACAGTCAGACCAATACCGACCGCCGCATCGTGGACCCTCTGGGCAGCGGAATTTTTTTCTTTTGAATATGGATGGGGAAAAAATCGTTCGCCACAAGAATAAACAAAAAAGTTAAGAATGATAGCACCTGCCCTGTGCACGGTGACTTCCTCTCTTTCTGAGTTCTTTCACTTTCCATTTTTGAGCAAAAAAAAAAGTGCAGCGGAGCTGGTAGCGTACAGTGTGGTCGAACGAAATGCGAAGAGTGGCGGGAGTAATACAGTGGACGTAAATTGGAGTTGTAGAATTAGTGGGCGTGGTGGAAAGAGTGGCACATAATCCCAGTGGGATTCGCCCACTTAATATGTGGGTAAATCCCACAGAGATCCACGACGTTCCCCGGACATAGCGCCTGCAATATCGTGACTGAGCCACCATGATGGTTAAAGTGATTTTTCTAGGAACCATCCAACCAAGTCGACCAACTTTGTCACGTGCCCCGCAGAAGAAGAAGTGCTATTGCGGAGTTTCTGTTAGCCGATTCTTCGGGTCTACATAAACCACGCCATGACGGAGCTTGTGACGTCACGACCTGGTAAGCGCATGTAATCAAACAACACCACCAATCAACACCCTCCCGACTGAGCTAGTTGATAGAAGAAATGACAAGGAGAGATAGGAAAGGCAGTGATGTTAACCAGTTTGGCATGCTTCCCTGCTCAGGGGGAAGGGAGATTGAAACAAAGTAAGTAAAGAGAAGGGGAGCGCTCACGCACAACGTCACAGTGCAGAGCGGCAGTCTTGTGCGGTATACGCTATCATCGAGTGATTTCAACCGCTCGTGCACGTCTGTTCTCCTGAGAAATCTTAGCCATGCCTTGGTTGCTTGAATTTTCGATGGCTTTTCAGGATGACAGCTGGTGCAGAGGTTGCTGATGTAATGCAGTGCAGTGCTCTGTGACCCAGATATGCGCCTTCCATGCTTACAGTGAAATATAGATCGGGGTGGATACAGAATTCCCCCAGGGGGGTATAGGAATGGGTCGGAGGGGCGGGGGGTCATGGATGTGGGAAGCTTGTCAACTAAAGCTGAGCTTGAAGCGTCCCGTAAAATAGGGACTCCGCATGCATGATCCATGCATGATCATGCAGGCCCATGCATGAACACATGCATAATCGACTTAATTTGATTAGTCGGGTTCATTTGTCTGTAGGGGCGTGTTCTTAACTATAAAGCGTCTTAAGTCGATCAAACTTCGAAGTTAGTCATGTCAATCAACCCACAAAACTCGCACGCTAATTCACTCAAGAGAGAGAGGAATAACATTTATTTATATATCCGGCGTGTAGGAAGTCCCCGGCCTCGCAGGGTGCGGATGTTCCCTATCTTAAGATTACGGCTATCAGAGTCCGATAATCTCAGATTCACCCAATCCGCTCGACAAATGCGTGTTGAAACGAGTCGGATCGGCTTGGCAGACTCGACCCGTTCGCATCGATCGAGTTAGTGGGAAAGAAATCTGCGATGTGTCAAAAAGAAATCACATTGTTTTCCAAGGTCAAGCTCGTAATAATACGAGAGCGTAGGATTCCCCTTCAGTATATGGGCGAAGGTTTGTCGCCATGCCCCCCTCCTTACTAAGTAAATGTATAGGGCAGACCATGTCCGCCCCCCCCCCCCGCCCCCTTTCTCTTGTACTCGCGCCTATGCCCGTAATGCCTCGCACGCAGTGACGGATACAGAGGGGTGGGGCAACACCCTCTAAAACCCTTGTTGGGTGGGGGGCGGTAGGGGTGATCGCCCCTCTCCCAAAGTGGTGTGCGTCGGCACCCTCCCCCCTCTCTTAAGTGCTCGTAGTCCACCTCCTGTCACCGATTAGGACAAATGAGTGAAACCACTTTGAGCACGCATAACGGTATCTATGCTATGAAGGGGTTTTTCTGCTAGTGAAAACAAAGTGATGACCACGCCCCCCTCTTCAGTGTTATTTTAGGCGACCCCCCTCCCTAAAACGAGTGGCTGGGTTCGCCCCTGCTCGTACGCAATGCTGTTGACGTTGTATGTAAGCAAGACCGCAAAAAATAAACCCGGTGCCCTCGGAGGGTTACCATGCGTATTTGAAATCAAGGGTTCCGGCAAGATTCAAACGTGCTCACAAGATGAAAATATACCGCATAGAACAAGGCTGGACTTACCACCAGCCTAGTTTCTTAAGGAAAAGGAACTCTGACCCCCGTATTCAGAAACACTCCTCGACTCGACATCCACCCTTCACTTGACAGAGCTGAGCACTGTGCCGCTGCTCGGCTGGAAATGATGCGCTATCCAAGAATCGCAGCAGATTATCGCTGATGTGCAGTGTTGGGACTCCGGGTCCTGCCGGTCTCGTTTTCGGTAGCTGGCCCCGTCGCAGGATCCATCGTCCAACAATTCAGCGAGAAGAAGCGCCCGAACGAACAACAGAGATTTATTTACATGTGGAGAAGTGGTCAACTGACCCAAAGAGAGAAGAGTGCGTGTGATACAAAACGTCTTCGGCATTTTATAGCGCCACGTTGTTGACACTGGGCGCCTTGTCCGCATCGTCAGCCAATACGGTGTCGCCGGCACCTCGGCCACGAGGGAGGGGAAAACACCTCTCACAACACAAGGAGTGGCACAACCCAACACGAGGTCCATATATGGTCCCGGCGCCCCAAAATGTTACCAAATATGGTCACGAACGC